GCGCGCACTCACCCCCCGACTCCGATCCCGCTCCCATCTCCCCAATCCCCGACACCGTTTTCCCCGGGGATGTGCGACTGGGTGGTGGAATTTTGGGAAGAATGGAGGAGTTTTACAGATGTCTATAACAGTCCAGGAGAATGGTTAGATAAAGGATTCCACCTTATAGCAGACCATCTTAACCTGTTCTCTCGTATCAAAGCGGTGAAAAGGAGAATGAGAGAAATCTGTTACAGAATGAACATCGAAAAAGCAGAGGCAAACCTAGGATTTACATCCTTCTCGGACGAAGTATGGCTGAGATGTCGGGCGAAATAGCTGCAAGAATGGCAAGAAGAACAAATAGCCAAGCACAAAGCATGCAAAAAGTACAGAAAAATAAACAAAATAATTGAAGCAGACAGAATGGATAAGAACACCTTGAAACCAGATAGGGGAAGACTAACCGCCTCCTCGATGGTAGAAATGTGCCCCCCCTGTGACGCCCAACCTCACGCCCAGCGCGACTTCATGATCGGAGTGGGGTATGGGCCTGGAAGTGCGAAACGGGGTGTGCCAAGGATTTTTGAAGAAAGTGGGGGAGTCTTAAGGGTATGAATGCAATTCGGCGAGCGTGCGCAAGAGACTCACGGTCCGATGGGGCCGGGACATTGTGGGCGACGGGTTACGGGAAAATTCCTCCGTGGTGGAGGTGGTCGTGAAAAGTTAGGCCGTCAGGGGCCGCCAAGCGGCGCAGGCCGCCGCGTACCTGGGTTGGGCCTTCGAAATTCCGGAGTGCTCAGCGCGCCGTTGCGTCGACAGTTCACGCAAAACGTATTGGGCCAATAGGGGGCTATGGCCGGCCACGGAACGACACTGAGCTGATGATACGGGAGAAGGAGGCGGAAAGGAGGGAAACTGGTGGTGATCTCAACGAATCCCGGGTGGGTGAAGTAGTAGGTGTGGTCGGGGGAAGGGAAATCGGAGCACCGAGGGTCACTAGTGGTGGCACAGTGGAATTCCCACGGACATAGCGGATTCTCCGTGTGACAGGGGTATCGCGTCCTTATGAGCTCGTTTATCATAGGGTTGAAACAATCCGGGTCATAGGACGAGTCTGAGCCCTAAGATCGCGTCATGGTATCATTGCCGGTGGGATAGCACGGGTCGGGATGTCGTCACCGCGCATGAGCACGTGTAGGACAGGCCGACTCAGTGGCGCCTCATCATGCTCGTACGGGATGATGGTTCCGCCGTGATTCCTTTCGGGGTGAGCGAGTCGACGCTCGGGAATGCGTGCAAGGGCGCAACTCGGATCGTGTTTACACGTGTTCTCGTGCGGCGCTCGCGGGGCCGGACTCAGCACCTAATTGCTTCGTAAATCTCGGTTATGCAAGATGCAATCATACCACAACCTCATCAGGGGACAAGCAGAAACGAAATCTACATCGGGGCCAGACTCTTATCCCATCTATCGCTGCACCCGGTGCAAGCAAAGATTCGGCACAAACAAAAAGCAAGGGCAGGGATTCTCCGCAAAAGAGATAGGCAAGCAGGCATAACGTTCATGCATCCATACATTCGACAATCATACACATAATGCAAGCAAAAGCGGACATCGTGAAGACAAATGTGAGCAAAAATCCAAGCCCAGATTTCAGAAAGTCGAAACGAAAATAAGAACGGGCGAACCGCCCGGAGCCGTAATCAAAATGTATGTACACAGGTGAAGAGGGGGAAAAGACAAAGAAACCACAAATCCACGTCCATCAACCTCAACTCTCTCTTCCTCTCTCTCTCTCTCTCTCCGATGCGGAGAATCCGTGGTTACGCACCAACCCACGAAGTTGTCACCCCGCTTAATCCTCCCGCACCCGTCGGATTCGCCCGTGCCCACAGTCCGTCGTGGCCCACGTCAATCCCGCGCGTTCGGCACCAGCCCGTCGGGTCGCCCAACTCCTACTCTACTCACCTCTTACTTCGCTCGTGTGTCGACCCTTCCTGATTGCGCAACCCTGAGCTTCCAACAACGGGTTAAGAGGAACTCACTAATCGCGCAACCAAAAATTATAGCGTGCATGCATGTGCGAAGAACGCGGAATTACTAGGACCTAGAGTGAGGGTTAGAGAAAGGACGCCTGCGTTCTGCATGATCGGCCGCGACGTGGGGGACGTAACCTTCTCCACGCATCGATCCGAGCATGCAGGCCGCGGCTTACAAAATTCCAGCAAAAGAAAGAAAGGGAGGGCGGGAGAGACGAAGTGCAAGAAGAGAGATACAGCTACAATGGCGCCCGCCCAAAATTACAGCTACACATACGATTAAGGGCGCCCACTAATCATAGTACCGTTGCAGCCGCATGAAGAAGCGTGAAAACAAAAGGCGCCGCGCGGCAGATAAAAAAATCCTAATTACTGAATTCCTAAATTCCTATCTAATGCGAAAAAAACAAAAAGCACAAATTCCAGAAGGAAAGCCCAAAAACTCCGAGAGCCATCGGGGGGGGCTCGACAAAATTCGAAAAAGACTCAAAGGAAAAATTCAAAAGAACGAAGCAATTTCCCGCGCGATGTCTGCGCCCAAAAGATCGAAACCGAAACGAAAGAAA